GCCTTGGTTTTCCAGGTCAATTTTATCTTTGGGGTTGCTAAGGATGGCTGCTATTTTTCTGTCTGTTTTGAAGGCAGTCCTGATGTGATGTCTGTGTAGTACCTTACTAATTTTGTCTGTAGTACCTCTTATGTAGGGCAGGACAGCTGTTCCATAGGTCTGTTCATCTTCTGGGTCTCTATTATGTTTCAGTGTGTTTTTGTGGATCAAGCTGGTGATTTTGCTTTTGTGGAAGCCGTTGGCTGTCAGTACTTTAGTCAGGGTGCATAGTTCAGTCTTAATGTGTGTCTTATATATATATATATATATACATATATATATGAAGTCTTAACATTTGGACTGTGAAAGATGAAAACTCAATCTTCCAGGTTCTGTATTTTGATGTATTTAAGATTATCATCAGTATATGAATGTGAAGCACATCTCCAGAACTTCCAAATCATATCTAAATTATAGTAAAATGGCCAGATTATACCAATATGTAGTGTGGAATGCACTAGATGACAAATTAATTGAGAGAAGTATATTAGTGTAATGTTTCTTTAAAATGTCTGTAGATTATAATTCAATATTGCCAGGAAAAGATTTCAAGAAAGTAAAGAGTGGTGAAGATCGATGCAACTTAGAATGTTGGCAAAAAAATTAACTGCCGATTCTTTTTTAATTCGTGGCCTGGCTTATCTTGAAAATTTTAGCATAGCTAACAATGCCACTAAAATGAACTGAGGTTCATTTAGAGAATGATGATGTTAAAGTTCACCCATTGGCCAGGAAGATACCTTGAAGTTTGTGTTGCTTTTGAAGGGAACTAAAATTCCACAACTGGGATTTTAATGAATCTTCAGAAGAATGAAGATTGAAAATACACTGCTCAAAAAAATAAAGGGAACACTTAAACAACACAATGTAACTCCAAGTCAATCACACTTCTGTGAAATCAAACTGTCCACTTAGGTAGCAACACTGATTGACAATCAATTTCACATGCTGTTGTGCAAATGGAATAGACAACAGGTGGAAAGCATAGGCAGTTAGCAAGACATCCCCAATAAAGGAGTGGTTCTGCAGGTGGTGACCACAGACCACTTCTCAGTTCCTTTGCTTTCTGGCTGATTGTTTGGTCACTTTTGAATGCTGGCGGTGCTTTCACTCTAGTGGTAGCATGAGACGGAGTCTACAACCCACACAAATGGCTCAGATAGTGTAGCTCATCCAGAATGGCACATCAATGCGAGCTGTGGCAAGGTTTGCTGTGTCTGTCAGCGTAGTGTCCAGAGCATGGAGGCGCTACCAGGAGACGTGGAGAAGGCCGTAGGAGGGCAACAATCCAGCATCAGGACCGCTACCTCCGCCTTTGTGCAAGGAGAGACAGGAGGAGCACTGCCAGAGCCCTGCAAAATGACCTCCAGCGGGCCACAAATGTGCATGTGGCTGCTCAAATGGTCAGAAACAGACTCCATGAAGGTGGTATGAGGACCTGACATCCACAGGTGGGGATTGTGCTTACAGCCCAACACCGTGCAGGATGTTTGACATTTGCCAGAGAATGCCAAGATTGGCAAATTCGGGAGCTTCCGGTTTGAGCTTCTTCGGCGACAGACCAAAACCTCGCCTCTGCGAGGTTTCAATCCATGCTCGCCGCTGGAGCACCCCGAGCCGGCTGGTTTCAGGGCTAAGCCACCCCGTAGAGGTGGTGAAGAGGGGGGAGACTGCCAGCAGGGTTGAGGAGAGCCGCATCTCTCCTCCCCAGCTGGCCATTACTCCCTTTCCTGAAAGCGGTTGCAGCAGTGGTCAGAAATGGCCACCACAAAGAAGAACTCGACCGGAAAAGAATGTGCAGGAGGAAGATAAGCAGAGAAAGTTTCGGTTGACTGGGTCAAACAGCAAAAGCAACAAATAAGGTACCCTGGAATTTAAATTTAATAACATTGTTCCCAAAGAAGATTTTGAAGCTGCAAAGGAGAGAGAGAGAAGGGAAAGGATTAGGTTTTTTTTTCTTCCCTTCCTTATACTGACAGCTAAGAGACTTAAGCAAGAAATTGAAAAAAAAATCCACTTTGACATTAATAGGCATCTAAGCTGAACATAAAAGTCAAAGGGATAATAAAGATTTCTGGATATTTAAAAGTTTTTAAAAGCAGGAAAGGAGAAAAAAAAGAATAAAAGGGCAGGATCTGGAAAAATGGAGGAGACTACCTGGAACTAAGGAATGGAACTGTAACTAA